TTTGTGCAAAGTGCTACAATCGCGCGGTTACCAGAGGGGTGGGGTTGCAAAGAGGCCGATTAGCCCAGGCGGAAAAATGTGTGTGCTGAAAAATGCCCCCTCGGCTTATACGCGAGTCACCATTTTTTCCCAGTTCTTTGTGGCAAAATAGGTCCCTCGGCTTATAGTCGGGTCGACTTATACTCGAGTATATACGGTAGCTAAATATTTTTTTAGACTTCTTAAGAAGCTTGCCTAGATCAGTGGTGGCGAACCTATGGCACGCATGCCAGAGGTGGCACTCAGAGCCCTCTCTGTTGGCACGCGCGCCATGGCCACCAGCAGCAGGTCCAACAGGCTGCCGCCGCCGCCCGGAACAGGAGCCCCGCCCAGCACAAAGGAGACGAAGTGGCCAACTAGCAAGCTCGAGTAGAGGTGGTAGAGCAGAGGGCACCAACTATTGTCAATTGGTGGACTGGAAGAAACGGGAGGAGGAAGCATTTTACATGCGTGCATGCGCACATGGGCCACGAGCATGCGCGCACTGCAAATGGGACGGGGCTAGTGCCTGCGTGATACTCACTAGCCCTGCCCTGTTCTTGTGTGGTGCAGCGCGTTGTATCTGCACCCTATGGTGCGGCAGCGGTTGTTTTTGCGCCTTGCAGCACAGTGGTCCATTTTTACACCCCCAGTTTTTGCATGCCAGAGGCGGCACTCAGAGGCACCTCCCTGCCTCCCCGAGGGCACCACAATGCTGATGCAGCCCTGGCACTTTGCAATAAATAAGTGGGTTTTGGGTTGCGGTTTGGGCACTCGGTCTCTAAAAGGTTCACCATCACTGGCCTAGATCATTCAAAGACGGATAATTATAGTGACCTGTCAACTGCAGACAGTCTAGCGAAAGCAAATCATTCTGACCCATTTCAAAGTAGGATACAGGGTTGAAATTCCTTTGTCAGTCTGATAGATCATTGTCTGGAAAATCAACAGAGAGAACATGGTTCTACCAAAAACTCTAGTATCCTTCAGACTTGTTGTGAGATTTGGGAATAAGAGGTACAGTGGTTCCTTTCCCATCTCTTAAGTAGATTTCTGATGCCTTTACTTGAAGATAGTTGCTCCTCAAAATGAAAGCTAATACTCCTTAATTTCACAGCATATGGACAGACTTAACCATTGTTTCAACTGGGAAATTGTGAGGATCCTAGACCAAGCCAAGTCCAAAAATACTAGAGAATTCCCAGAAATCTGGCACTCAGATAAATTGACCATTGACAGGCACATAGAGATAAACAACATCTACATGACATTCAAAAAGCCAAAAAGGAAACAAAATGAATGTAATAGAATTACATTCTGCCAAGAGGAATAGATATGCAGAGAGAGTATGTTTTGATCCAAATCTCTTTCTGATTTCTCAGCAATGTGTTTTATCTTCTTTGGTTCATATGCCAGCTACATCCCTATCTAGAAGATAATTATCTTTAAACTATGGTACACAAATTGGTAAAGTACAGGCTTGACAGTAATATCCTCTACATGTAGATGCCTGGGGCGAGTCAGGAAACCTAGTTATAAAACTCAAAAATTATGTTGGTCTAGAGAAAGATGTGAACATTTGTGCTTAAAGCACCATACTAGGCACCAACTTGTTTTAAACAAAGTACAAAGCTCTCACTATTACCTTTCAAGCCCTACATAGTATAGATGATGAAGTAATGAAGTAGTGAATGAATAAGGTTGGTACCAAAGTTTGGGGATGCCTAAAATTTTTGCATATTCCCTATTAGAGGGTTTTTCACTGTTTCACATAGATTAAAAAAAAATTAGCTGCTTTTCTATTAAAACAGCCCCTATTCCTCCTAAATATTGTATTTTCAAAAAGTCGACTCATTAACTCTTATCCCAGTGCAACATATTATGGCTGTAAATATTTTTAACAAAATTTTAAAAATTATAAAACTGGTTATGGAATTTAAGGTGGGCCATTTACATTATGCTATTTAGCATAAATTTAAAAATACAAAACATATCCTAATTTTGGAGTTAAGGTAATATATACATCTAGTGATCAAATAAACAAATTCAGTGATTTCAGTAAAATCAATACTAATAGTCCTTGAGATATTATTGAAATATGTCGTAGCAATCTTAATCAATGGAAAGGAATACTAGGAATTGTAGTTCAGCAAGATCAAAAATAAGACAATGCAGGTTCAGACCTGTCTTCTTGGGAAAAAAATGCCTTTTTGTAAAAGTTATTAAATGTGCTAAATATCTCCCATATTCAGGATCAATTATTCAGAAGCGATGAATTTAAAATACATAAATATATATATATATATATATATAACAGAATAATAGCATGTATCAAAATCTAACCAATTCCTACACTTAAAATCAGTTTTACTGATATTTCTTGAATCATTTCCAATGAAATTCTTGTTGACCTTTATAGATCTATTTTCTTCTCCCTACTGAAATTATGATAAAAAACCAGTAGAGGCATTTACATTGTATGAATGAAATACATCAGAAACGTAACAATCGCTCCAAAGAATGTAGTATCTCCTAGCTTACTTATAAGAGTATAGTATGTAAAGACAATAAGAATGAAATGAAAGCATAGCACACCGGTCAATACATCAAGAAAACAAAGAGCAGAATTATAATTTTATACGTATTAGGCTTTAAGTAGCTAGAGCTACTATTTTCTTAACTAAGGAAATACTAGAAGAGAGAATTTTAATATTGCAGGACAGAAAAAAATGAGGGAGACCAACAGATGCAGCCTTCTCTTTAAGCCATGAAAAAACTGTATGGCATATATGGTTAAAAGGTACCACCATGGAAAAAGAATCTCCAGAGTGCAAGCACAGGAAAAAACTCTTTGTATAACAATTGCAGTGAGAGCTGTACGCTTCATTTATAGTTTACATATTGTACCTCACAGCTAGTAGCCACAAAACATTTAGTGTCATCTGCATTCTCAGGCACAATAAAAATACAATTGCCTTGTATCACTATAGATAATTTTAAAAATGAAAGCAAATGGGGGAAAAAAACCCACTTCAAGAAAACACTTTACCCGGTCAATATTGCTTACTTTGTTCAATGTTCTCCTGCTTTGAAGAGGTGACTAAGGAGCAGCAGAACTACCTTCTGATTATGTTTTGCCAAAAACAAAGCTAAATAAAATCCCAAATCATTGCTGAAATTTATCTTTCTTGCATTGTTACCTTCACTTTTTCTCTTCTCAAACAGCAGAAAAGACAATTTTCATCAAAAGACCAATCAGAGACACCTTCAGGTTCAAAGTCTGTGAATAAGAAGAAAAAGTTATTTCACACCTATAAAGATGCAACTTTTAAATGGTTAAAATTCATTTCTAATTCCCTACCTGTTTTATAAGACGCTTGATGCTATATGAGCAATGCTAGTTTGAATGCTACCATGCTTTTAATTTCCACAGTGTTACAAAAGTATAATTTTCGCCTACACACAAAGCTAATTTTCCTAAGCAACACCAAAACCACTGCCAGTTATGCTCATTAGTAATTTTAGCCAATATGAAACTAACTGTGAGCACTGCCTGGGGGAGGGAAAAAAAGCACAAATCACCAAGGTAACATACATTTTCTAGAGATAGAGCAGAGGTTGAGTTTGTCATTAAAGATGCAGATCAAGGCAAAAATATATATAAGTATACTGTATATATAATACCTTTAAACAAATTCCAGATCTTTTAATAATTCAGGTCCAAACAGCCCTTCTAGAATACTTTCAAATCCTAAAATTAAAGAAAGAATGTTTAATTTCTTCAAATTACATATATCAATGCCAGAATATTGACAATTCTACATGTATCTGTTCTTAGAATAAATTTGAATGTCCTTTTATTATGTACTCTATATTTCTTGATCAATCCTATTCAAGTCAGTTAAAACATGCACACAGAGACAAAATTATATCAATGCAGCATAGTGAAAATGAAGCAAAACAGTTTAAAAATGGAAAAAGTTGTTTAAATAATTCAATTAAATGTTGCCAACATTAAAAAAATTTTACTCACTTCAGATTATGAATTCAAAAATGTATTTATCTCCCAGAGTCTACTTTTAAGCTTTATAAATGATTTGAAAAGGAAAGCCACTAATGGTTAATCTGAAGCCAAATATGGAATGTGTTCACTCTGTAGATGCTTAATTATTACTGAGGTCTTTACATTTTTTTTACAATGCTGAGATCTCCTATTTCAAATATAACACCTCCCCCTCCCCCAAAATTAATGCCATATTTGTGAATATAATTACAGTGTACTTTTGGCTTACAGCTAAAGAAACAGCATACCTATTTATCAGTTTTTCAGAATATGAGGGATATAGGAAATATACTGCATTGTAACAAGAACAAATTCTACTTCGAGATAATCTATTTACCATTTATACGTAAAGATATTTCACATAAATACTTTTACTGTACAATATCTGAGCTGAACAGTAGAGATTTCATAACATTTTCAATGTAAAATAATTCAAGGAATAAATTATTTCTTTACCCATATTACATAGTGAGTAATGGACTATTTAACTTTGGAAGAGAAAATTTAGTAAGAGTGATATCCTTCTCGTATGCAGAAAAAGTCCAATGCTCATTTAATAAATATTATTAAGAGTCATAATGCAAATTTTGAGATGTAATAATTAAGTAGATTCCGAAAGTAGAAGAGTGCATAAAAGCATGTATATAACTGGAAGGCAAAACCACAAAATTCCATTTTATTTCAGATATATTAAGCAATCAAACTCATTGGAAAAGACAATTTTGCTTGGAATTGTCATCAGTAAAAGGAGTCCATCCAAAATGGTGCCTAGACACCATCAAAGCCAATATCATCCAGAGCATAAAATATAAATCATAAAACAACTGAAAGATTGGAGACAGCTAGTCCATAAAACCTTCAAGAATCAAATATGATTGAATGGATAGCATCATCATCATCATCATATCTTAAAGTATTTACTAAGATTCAAAGAACTGTGATGGAATAAATTTGACAACATAATCACATTTTAATCTGTAGTGTAATGACAAAACTACAAAGAAATGACAGAAGCATAGAAAAGACAAAACACAAATTGAACAATAGAAAAATAAAGAACTGAAAAGAACAGTTACACATATACAGATGATAAACCCAAATTGGGTTTATCAGATGTCATAGCCTTGCTTTAGTTAATTTTAAAAGAGCACTGTCTCGTCTTTTAAGTTAAACTGACACATCTCTAATTCACAACAGAAATAGTCCAGAAAAATGGATGCTTTGTATATTACATATTAATATAAATAAGTACATTTTAAAAATGTTTTTTAGAAAACTAAAAGCTGACAGATAGAATTTGAAGTACTGAAAAAGAAATAAAATGTTAGAAATCCTACGACACTTTAAAAATTTCCTATTAAAATATGCAGGTAAATGCAGGTAAAATCTGAAATGTTAAAAACTTGCACATTTTAACTTATACAGAATAGTCGCTAAAAAAGAAATATTTTAATTAATTGTCATTAATTCCTATTATACAGAATTTTTTATGCAACTAAATAAGCATTCAGTGTCTATGAAACGGATTATATAAAGTATACAATCTGGCTTGCTTTGTTCACTGTTCTACCAATGGTAATGACGCTTGGTGTATATTAATATTAAATATTAGATTTAACAGTTGCATAGCAACAGCAGAAAAGCTTATATGCAGTACTTGTCATAGAAAATGCCAAACAAGTAAGGACGAACATATTTAAAAATTATTTTAAAGACCTAGCACTTATAATTTATTAAATTTAGTTGCATAGCCCAATCCAATACATCAGAAATAGCAACAAATTAATCAAATAATGTGATTTGCTATGTTAAGTTTAATACAAAAAGAGTCAAAATAAACAACAAGGGAGCATGGAATAATTAAACTGGAAAGATTTGAGATTATGAGAATTGCTAATGTTTACTAAGATTTTTCTATCACCCTTTTAGGAACTAAAAGAAATATGATTTTATCCACTGATAATATTTTACTCGTTTGCCTTAAGATGTAATATATTCCTATTGATTTTAAAAGGAAACAATATGGCTGTCTTTGTTTGACTCTTTTATTCATTCCCATGTATGTTCGATCATTTCCAGTGCTGAATAGAACAGTATTAAAAGTCTCAGGAAATTTTCATTCTGTTATTTCCATTTCACAATGAATTTAGATTTTCTGTACTTAGTGGTGGTGTTTTCAAGGAAATACAGTTATATAATCCTATTAAAAAACTGCCACGAATAACAATACTTGACTTTTTTAGTAAAAAAAGTTCCACTGCAAGGGATAGATAATTCATCACGGAAGACATTAAAAAAATTTCAAGGATTAATGCCAATCAAATAAAATCAAATCTTTATTACAATCATAAACCAGCATAAGGGACCAATGCAAAACAAAACTGTATTCTTAGACACTCATGTATTTAGATTCATACTTTAAAAAGTTGGCATGTATTATTTTGGTTATTATTTCTGAGAGCACTTCCAGTCAACGGTTTTCTAATTGGGGTATCTTAAATTAAATGTGAAAATCTTATTGTAATATGTATATATTTACCTGTTTGTTTTTTTTACTTCTAATACTTTGTTTATTGCCTTGTTTAGTAAAAATAAGATACTATGAATATGCATTATTTTATCTATGCTAATACTATATAAATAGCTCATATTTAATAAGTTATACCACATAAATAGTAAGCAACAGCTATCCAGTTATCCTTTATTTTTCCAGTTATACTGCATGTTTCATTCTGTTTTTCCATAAGTATTTACATAATACCTCATCTAATGGCCAAAGGCAAATCTAATAGGCAGCTGTGAAACAACCAACAGAGGGCTAAAGATATAGTCATTATTTGAATAAAAGAAAAGCTATTAGATTCCAAAGTGCTCTTTTATAGATCTTCAAAGAACAGACAAAGAAAAGAATCCTAGAATCTATTCTCAGGGTTTCTTCATTTCTTTTAGCTTTTTTAAGTACAAAGTCACATGTAGCAGCCAAGAAAGATTTTCATTCTCTTTTGAATTTCATATGGTGAAGTGCAAATGGCCCAGTTCCTCCTAGAGCAGTGGTCCCCAACCCCTGGTCCGTAGACCTGCACCTGTCTGCGGCATGCCAGAAACCAGGCTGTGCAAACCCCATCCATGGGATGCAGGCAGCACATCAAACCACGCCTCCTCCAGTCCACGGAAACCCCTCTCTCCATGGACCTGGTCCCTGGTTCCCAAAAGGTTAGGGGCCACTGTCCTAGAGAAACTCTTATAATCATGTTATGTGATGCTGAGCTCATCACATGTTATGTGATGCTGAGCCTTTTTCGCCGAGCCCTGAAGGCCCATCTATTCCGTGCGGCCGGCCTGGCGTAGTTTGATTATGTTTTAGTGGGGGTTTTGTATGGGGTATTTTTAGAGCAGGCCTGTTATTTAATTTGATTTTAGAACAGAAAATTTGTGTATATTTATCGTGGTTTTTATTATCGCCTGTTCACCACCCTGAGTCCCGTAAGGGAGATAGGGCGGTATATAAATTCAATAAATAAATAAATAAATAAATTGGAACAAGGACGTAACGACAATGGTGATTTCTCAGAGTGTTGACAATCCCTATGTGTCTCTAATGGATTTAAGATCAGATTAACTTTATAGTTGAAATATATCAAAAACTTTACAACAAATTATATATATTGCCACCTTTAGTTAAAACAATCTTGCAAGTTCTAGTTATATTCCACAAGGTTATTGTGTGTGAGTATTATGATTAACTGCTGCTCTTTCCTTTAACTGGAAAATCTAAAGTTTTGTTTTTTTTTACTCCATTTTTTGCTTGCCATGATTAATGAAGAAAGGTTTGTATTCTTAGATTATCTCAGCATACAATACAACCAGAGTTGGAAGCATCATGGACAAAATACCTTGGAGATTATGGGGCAACATCCTGCAAAGTACAACTAGTTCAAAATTCAGCTAGCAGTCATAGCTAGTTCAGCAGAATAACTCTTATTATACAGAAATTCAATTAGTTACCAATAGAAGGGATCCAAAATTATGATGATTACCTATAAAAGCCTTTACAGTTCAGGTTCTCATTAACCACAGTACTCTTTCCTCCAATCAGAGTCTCTCCATCTAGTATGTCCTTTCTGGAGACATTGTAACTATGTCAATTCTCAAGGCAAATGGGGCTCTGAAATAGGCTTTCCTGTAGATACTACAATCCTACAGAATTATGTTGTTGTTTTTAACCATTTAGTCGTGTCCGACTCTTCAGAACCTATACAGAATATATAGGTGTACATAGAATATACACTTCCCTAAAATCAAGATCGTTCTCTCTCTTATATTGTTTTGGAAAGAGATGAAACTATTCTTTTCATCAAGTGTATGGAACTAAGTTGATTGGAGGAGATGCTGCTACACATTATGCCCAATAGATCTACCTGTTCCCTCCATTCATTTTAGGAATGCTTAAGCTCTTTCTGTTTGAATGGATGAGGAGGAAAAGACAATGTTCCTTCATTCAGCCCACTTCCCTTAAAATAGCCACCCTCCAGATGTTATTAGCATTTGCCTTATTATTGCTTAGTACTAGTTTGCATAGCATGTTATATATAATTGTCGTCAATGGGATTAAGGACAATTGGGTGTTGTTCTTAACATGAAAGACAAAAAGGATAAGTACAAAAAATGGAAAGAGGGACACA